TAGATAATCCACATATTTTCGTTTGTCAGCTCTGATGCTCTTCTTCACTTCCCTGTTTGCTTCTGTATACTCGGCTTGCGCCTTAACTTTCTCTGCTCTTGTTCGGCAGACATTGATAGCTGCCTTCTTGTTCCTCCTTTCTTGAATTTTTTCAAGAGTACCAACAGAGATCCATTCCTTGTGATGGTGCTTCTTGCGACCAAGGACCTCCTGACATGTTGAAGTGATTGCCTCCTTAATCCCTTTCCAATTGTTCTCCAATGTTGCTTCCTCTCCATTGAGTAGATCCTGAAAGGCCTGGAACCTATTGGTGAGGGCTATCTTGAATTCGTTGAGTGTTACGGTATCCCGAAGAAAGGCCGTATTAAACTTGTGTGATGTTGTCTGCCCCGCTGTCCAGTGCTTCTTTAGGTTCAATCTCATTTTGGCGATCAGCAAGTGGTGATCTGAAGCTATATCAGCTCCTCTCTTGGTTCTCACATCCTCCATGGTCCTTCTGAACTTTTTGTTGATACAGATATGGTCAATCTGGTTTTGAGTAGTGTGGTCCGGTGAAATCCATGTGGCTTTGTGAATGCGTTTGTGCGGGAATATTGTGCCACCGATGACCAGTTTGTTGAAGGCACATAGGTTTGCAAATCTCTCACCGTTTTCGTTCCTTTCTCCCAGTCCATGTCGTCCCATGATGTCTTCATATCCAGTGTTGTCCATTCCAACCTTGGCATTCAGGTCTCCCATAAGAATCGTCAAATCCTTTGGTGAACATTTATCGACGATTGACTGCAGCCTTTCGTAGAATTGATCTTTAACGTCGTCATTGTAGTCATTGGTAGGTGCATAACATTGGATGACGTTCATTGTAATGTCCTCTTTCTTCGTTTTGAAGGATGCTTTAATGATCCTGGGTCCATGAGATTCCCATCCTATCAGTGCCTTTTGTGCATGTTTGGACAGCATCAGTGCAACTCCTTGTGTATGTGAAGCGTTTTCCTCTTCATGACCAGAGTATAACAGCAGTTCCCCTGAAGCAAGTCTCAGTTGTCCTACTTGTGTCCAATGTGTTTCACTGATGCCGAGCACCTCGAGGTTGTATCTTTTCATTTCTGCCGCAACTTGAAATAGTCTTCCAGTCTCCCACAATGTACGAACGTTCCATGTACCTAAAAAAATGGTTGCTCTGGTTGTCAGAAGAGGCATCGGCCCCGTGACTTCCGAGGGGACTCGGCTTTCATCACGAGACGTCATAATTCTTCTTCCAAATGCCAGGGCAGAGTTAAAATGGTTTGAATTATTTTTTCTGGTTAGCGTTTTTTTGGCAAGTTAGATTTCAACGGAATGGGGCCGCCAACCCCATGTCCAACCCTCCTCCTTTATCCGGGCTTGGGACCGGCAGTAGCCCCTAAGGTTCTACTGGCGGAGTTTTGGGTCACTTATGGCGTCTACTAATCAAAGGACGGGGTTTTAACTGCGCAGCAATTCGTTCAATCTTATTTTATGACTGTGAAATATGGACAGTCAGAGTAGGAGATATTTGTAGGTTACTGGTTTTTAATCATAGGTGTCTCCGAAGCATTGCTCGTATATCCTGACACAATCGAGTAAGAAATGCTGTTGTTAGCAAATGGGTACTAGATAAGGATGGCAGATCAGTAGATGAAGTAGTGAAACTTCATCAGTTGAAGTGGTTGGGGCATGTGACATGAGAGCTAGGGGCGGCAAGAACAAACATGGCACAAATCCATGAAGATACTGACAACTGGACTGGGCCATTTTGGTAGGTGTCGACTACCTGGTTGGGGTCCGCGAGATTATAGTAACTGATTGTTAGAGACTCTGAATGACATGGCTCAAATGGTGCTGGAGCATCCACTCTTTGTACTGTGCCAAACTCTAACTTAAATTCCTCATAACCTTTATCTTCTACTTCTCCTTCTCGAATAATTTCTTCCAACCATCTTCTGCTTCATTACCACTAATACTTTTACCACTATGGGATTTGAATTGACGATCGCGTCTTTGTGCTAATAATGTAGTAAGTATGATAACTTGAACTGATGTACATACGTACCAAGATCTACGTTATTGCTGACTGATTATATACTAAAATTATCTAGTTATCATCAGAAAGTAAAGATCTTGTATCAGTAACTGAACTAATTTCTTTTAAAGTCATATAATAAAACCTTGTTGACCGGATGAATGCTACAGGATCACAAGACAAGACAAGACAGATACAACGCAGAACTTCGTACGTAAGTAAATCAGTTCATGTTGCTATACAACATCAGCACAGAGACGCAACTGTCAGTTCAAATCCAAGAGTGATAGTGGAAGTATTAGCAGTAATGGAGAAGATTAGGGAGCGAAGATATAATTCAGTAAGATAAATTTAGAAGGAGAAAGATAGAGATGATGAGGAATTCAGAAGGTTAGAATTTTAGAGAGAACTCAAAGAGTGGATGCACCTGCACCATTGCAAACGATTCACACAGAAGTATATGAATAATGACGAGATTATAGATAGTGTATAACTATACAAAACAATCACTATTCTTATAAATTCTTTTTCATTTCATCTTAAATCTTAACTAAATCATCCACAATAATTAATTTTTCACTGATTATCCACTGAGATGGAATCCGGAAACATTCACCAACGAATCACTTAATTTCGAAAAAACACATCTAAACTTTATTTAAACATATAATTATTAGTACAAAGGGACGGACACTTGAATATTTATGCGCCATACAAAACATTGAATTTTCTACGTGGACTGGGACACTGCTCAGTTTTATTAGCGGACCAGTCACATAAGCCTTTAACTAATAGGTCTTACCCCACAAGACAGTGAAGCAGTCCCATGTAGGCCAGTGACCAACAATAGGTTTAAATGCTATTTGTTCCTTCAGCATCCTGGAGTCCATGTGCATCTGTGGTTTGCAATGAAGGTTTTTTTGTCTAGCTTAGATAGATGCTTTGTATCCACCAACCCGTTTAAAGCACTGGAAACTCGATTTTTGTTCTCAATTCAGTGAGCAAGGCTCGTGCCACGATAAAACAGTGAATAAGACTTCCGTGGAAATGGCTTAACGCGCGACTATGTAAGACCGTACTCAGACGTCTGTCTGAAGATTGTTCTGATGATGTTGTTCAGAAGAACAGTGAAAGCTCCACAATCAAAACCTCTAGCTCATAGAACGAAACATCACCACAATCATCCACCTGAGCTACATATATTTTCTCCACCATATCAAAACTGTACTCTCCTCACTTTCGGCCGTACTAGGGCACAGTTCTTCGTTGTAACACAAGTTACACGATGATCCGTAAGTATTCTTAAAGGCTGTCTTTTTCACATATTGAAGAATCGATGAGCCCAATAGGAAAAAAATTTTTGTCACACTAATTAATTCCAATTTTGTTAAAAAAAAAAGCAGGATGAAAACCTTAGTGAAACGTGCCAAATATGTTATAACATTGTTAGGATATTCACCAAATATCCTAAGAGTACTATTTTTTGGAAGTATAATCTTATTGGTCAAAATTATGGTTATTTTAACTGTCAAAGTCAAATACTTCAATGTTGTCTCTGATTGGTCATCCGGACTGTCAATGTCATTTCAAATGTTCTTTCCTATTGGTCGTCCTAAACTGTCAATGTCACAGACTTCGATACTCTTTCCTATTCGACCTAAATGTATAAAAATTCGCAGTATCTGTAAGACTTCATGTTTCCGTTCCTTCCTGCCAACCTCTTTTCTGTACTCGACACAACTAAACAACTCCATTCAACGGTGTTGCGTTCTTTCTGATATATAGGAGATTTGGGAATAGCATTTTTGCGTCGTATTGGAATATTTGAATTCAGACGTCGATAGCAGAATTATAACAAACATAATCTCGTTTAATTTTTCCTAATTGTATATATAGATACGATATTATGTACTCTGTCCTATTGTACACTCCTTATATTAAGATTTATAAATACAATTCCCGACCGGTTTTCCCCCTCGAAATGCAAAATTTTCCTTCAAGACTGGGTTTCAACGGCACCTGAACTAGTGATAGAGAGTGAAGTAGTCGAACGTGTAGACCGCTTCACTTATCTTGGGAGTCTCATCAGTGCCGATGACCTGGTGACTGACGAAATCTCAGCTCCGATACAGAAGGCTCGATTGGCTTTTCCCAACCTGCGTTACTCACAGCGTAGGCGAGATATCCGTTTGCTGACTAGAGGACGAGTGTACTGTGCAGTAGTTCGCTCCGTCTTACTTTATGGCTGTGAAACATGGCCAGTGAGAGTAGAAGATATTCGTAGGTTTTCGATCATAGATGTCTTAGAAGCATTGCTCGTATATCCTGGGACACCTGAGTGAGCAACGCTGTTATTAGGAAACGGGTGCTAGGTAAGAATGGCAGATCAATAGATGAAGTGGTGAAACTTCATCAGTTGAGGTGGTTGAGACATGTGTTGCGTATGCCCAACCACCGACTGCCTCGTCGAGCTTTGTTTTATAGTGTAGGAATAGGTTGACGAGTGGACTTAGCCATGTCGGTAATTGTCGACTACCTGGTTGGGGTCCGCGAGATGATAATAATCGATGGTTAGAGACCTTGAATGACATGGCTCAGAATCGTTGGGAATGGTGCCGGTGCATTTATTCTTTGAGTTCTCTCAAATCCTAATCTTCTGGATTCTTCAACACCTCTAGTTTTGACTTTCTAAACTTTTCTCATTAAATGATACTTCTTGAATAATATCTTGTAATCCTAACCTCTTCGATTACTTCTAATACCTTTACTACCTCTTCTACTATTGAATTTGAATTGACAATTACATGTCTGTGTGTGCTGATGTGGTATGGCAACATGAACTGATGTACTTACGTACGAAGTTCTACGTTGCATCTGACTGACTGACTGATAAATACAACTGTTTTCCTCTCAATCGTCTTATATAATCCAAGATAAGAAACTGATTACAATTCATTCTTCATATATATATATATATATACACAAAATAATACACCCGTAAATATTTCGAATTATCGAATTTTTGAGTTGTAGTCATCATCATTATCATTATTGTTTTTTGGAATTGGATCGAAGACTTTTTCTACGATGATCATTTGGTGATTTGGTTGGAGTTGAGCAGTTAGATTCATTTGATTTTATTGATGATTCAATAACTTGTTTATTTTTGTTCTCAGCATTATTCACATTACAAGTGTTGCTAGCGGGTTCTAGTGGTTCAATCACATCGGGAAATAGATTTGTTTTAATAGATGTAGAAGATAACTTGATAGCATCATGATTTATAAAATAAAACAAAACAAAAAAAGAGAATTATTTGATATAAAAATACATTAGATGATATTGAAAATTGAACAAATGATTTGATATACTTTTAAAAATGTGATTGGAATTCAAAAAAACCATGTACATGTTTGTTTAGTTTTTTGTTTTAGTCACATTTCATGTGATGTGTGAAAAGAGATAGGCGTAGAGATGCTTTACCCCAACAAAGCATCATTCTATCAAGCCTTTAGTTAATCCGTGTACTTTTAGCCCTAATAAAAATGATGGTACTTTGTAATTTGAACTGGACATTAAAAAAACGAAGATAATACTATATGGGGTTATTTAAGGTTTATTGCAAATACAGCATTTCTACAATTTGCATTACAGGGATTGTGAAGATTGTTAAGTTACACATTTTTTGAAACCATGAATCGATCAATGTTAGACCATCATTAGAAACCTGGAAGCACTGGATGGCCGTTTCGTCCTGGTTTGGGAATCCTCAGCAGGGCGCATCCACGATTCCTGCACCCCGCAGGATCCGAACCCAGGACCTTCGGTATTGTGCGCGAACGCCCTAACCGTTCGATTCATGGTTTCAAAAAATTTCTACAATTGCAGAACATTTGAAACTCAAAAACAACTTATCAATCAACACCAAAGTTAGAATTTTTAATACGAACATCAACCGTATGGGGTGGAAACTTGGAGAAGCACGAAAGCCATCATCCGCAAAATACAAGTGTTGATTAACAGTTGTCTGCGTAAAATACTTCGGATCCTCTGGCCACACAACCTACTGTGGGGAAAAAACAAACCAGATTCCTCTAGCTGAGGAATAAATTAGGAAAAAGCGGTGGAAGTAGTAGAGAGAACACACATTGCGGAAGGCACTCAACTGCGTCACAAGAAAAGAGGAAGATCGAAGAACACATCACGCTGAGGAATTTAGACAGATATGATAAGAATGAACAAAAAGATTGGACAAAACTAGAAAGGAAAGTCCAGGATAGAGCAGGTTGGATAATGCTAGTCGGTGACATGTGCTCCATTGGCGGGGTAACAGGCGTAAGTAAGTAATTCAAGTCGATTAGAAAGCTAATCAAGCTTTGAATAGAAACAAGTGACTTTGGATGATGATCGCAATTTTTATCGCACGAATCCAACAAGTTGAGTCGGACAATAAAAACGATAAACATTGTTGGTTTTGAATCGTTTTCCAGTCAATAAATAATGGATTTAATATTTACAAACGTGTTAAAAAGGATCTTAAGAATACATACTGGAGAAAAATCAACGATTGAAACGTAGTTTAAAACTTTTGATGAGTATAAACGAATTTCTTTGAGTGTATTTTTTGTCTCACAGAATTCAAACGCTGAATTATTTAAAGTCAATTTTTGTCATTTCCATACTACTTTAATAAAACAATATTTCTAATGTAAAACATGTTAACAATAATTTTCTGAAATAAACAAGTTACAACGATTCAAACATTCGTAGGTTACGGGTTTTTGATCATAGGTGTCTCCGAAGCATTGCTCGTATATCCTGGGACAACCAAGTAAGCAATGCTGCCATTAGGAAACGAGTACTTTGTAAGGATGGAAGATCTATCGATGAAGTATTGAAACCTCATCAGTCGAGGTGGCTGGGTCATTTGTTGCGTATACCTAACCACCGACTGCCTCGACAAGCTATATTTTGCGGTGTAGGAGTAGGATGGAAGAAAGCTAGGGGCGGCCAGAACAAAACATGGCAGAAATCCATTAAGTCACTGACAAGTGAACTAAGTCATGTCGGTAGGTGTCAACTACCTGGTTGAGGTCCGCGTGGTGATAATAATCAATGGTTAGAGACCCTGAATGACATGACTCAAAATCGATTGCGATTGCGCAGGTGCATTCATTTTTTGTGTTACCTCAGATCCTAAACTCATCATCACTTTATCTCTTTCTTTTAAGTTTCTTTCACTAGATTCTACTCTATGAATAATATCTCTGAACTCTAAAATTTCCGATTACTACTAACACCTTTACCACCTCTACTACTATGAGATTTGAATTGACAATTACATCTCCATGCTAATGTGATAATGGCAACATGAACTGATGTACGTACGTACGTACGTACGAAGTTCTACGTTGCTAGTGATCTATTGATTGATTGATTCAAACCTTCGTTACACCATAGATTTCAAGTTATAATCACCACTACTACATTACATGATGATTTTCGAGGTATTGACACTTTCCAATGCTCAAAACAATGTTCTAGTTGAATGTGTGCTTTCATCAGTTGATTTGTTTTTTTAACTTCTCAATTGGTTAAAACCTCAAAACACACTGAAAAAGCCCAGTTAGATCAATGACAATCTTTTTTTAATTGTAGAATAGAAAAAAACAATAAAATAGAACTAGACTTACTTCAGTTGATACAGACAAATTATCATCGTCATCATCGTCATCAGAATCTTCTTTTTCATGATAATAATTATTAAATATATCTGAATCATGTTCACTACCAGTAGACATCAGTATTTCATCATCTATCCAATCATCATTTATAGTTGTGTTATTATTATTATCATTATCCTTATTATCATCATCCGATGACAATGGTTCAC